AGGTTTGGGCGGTTTTTTTTTTTTTTTTTTTTTTTTTTGCTTGTCCATAGTCTAGCAAAATGCTGCTGGATTTGAGTGCTCAATAGAGAGGCAGAGACTGAGATTTTAAACAGGTACTGTGTGGGGAGAAAAAATGTATAAAAAATCACCTTATTATATATATCACCTTATATATCATTATATATATAAAAATAAAACAGTCCTCTGCTAAATACCCAGCTGTTGGACTTTTTGACTGACTTCTGTCTGGCTAGAGAATTTCAGTTCAGTAGCTTCAGGAATAAGGTGCCCTATTTAGTACAGTGCGAACAAAAACAAAGATTAGGATACAAGATCTTGAGTGTGTTATAATTTGGTGAAAGATGAGCTGATGCAACAAAACCAGTAGATTGAAAATGTCTTCTGGCTCTTTCTCTTCCCCTCACCGTGCATATACACTTACCTCTTTTTTTATTTTTTTTTTATTGTTTGGTTTTGTGCTGTCTTTTCAAGAAATGTAAAATGTTCTGAGAACTCTCCCTTGTCCATGTCGTCGTTTGCCACCTACGCAGCTCCAGAGTATCAACTGCATGTAGACAGAGTTTATTGTAGAGAATTTGAACTATGATGAAAAGTGAGCAAACTTACTTCATTCAACACTATTTTGCAATATGAGTATTTTCAACCACTTCTGTGATATATTTAAGAATCCTGCAAGTAATGGAAAGCTGGAATGTATTCCAACTCCATCAGACTTGCTTTCTAGGTCAATCTTGTGCTGATTAGAACAGTACAAGACAGAGATTACTCTATCAGTTGTATTTACCTGTTGATATAAAAGCAGCTGCAGTTACTGCAAGCCCAATGGCCTGTGCTTTCTGGGGTCTTCAAGGGAATATATTATCTCTGGGGAAAATTTCCAACAAGAAGAAGATAGAATGGTCTTTCTTCTGATCTTATTTTCATGTTCTAAATGGTTTGTGTGTCTTGCTGCAGCCTTTCACTGCCATTAGAAATAGTTCGTTACTTTTCTATGATGCTATATTGAAGTTTAAGAAAATATCTTTTAGTGGAACAAATGATTTCCCTGAGGAAATTACTATTGTTCAGATATTGCTGCTACTAAACGAAATAGAATAACGAGTAACATATTATCTTGAAGACTCCGAACTAACTGAAAAACGTGGGTGTTTTATACAGGAAACGTTTTGGAAAGAACAACGTGATCTTGTCTGACATTAGAAAGCCTACAGATAATATTTTTTATAGTGGTAAGTGACTTGGGTGAGCATATGGAAAAAATCTTGACCTTACCTCTCGTATAAATAAACTGATCATCAGTCTTAAGTGATGTGTGGATTAAATTCAATGAATTGCTATTCAAAACTTCTGAATAGTTCCTTTCTGCTTTGAAATCTTGGTAAGACATTGATACTTCTGTAGGACGTTCCCTTTTTCTAAATACGTTTTTGTTTTTCACTGTGTTTTTTGCCATTTTCTGTCAACCGAAATGAATACTAGAGTCAAGTTGGGCCTGGCTTTTGTGCCTCTGCTGTAAAAACTGATACACTTACTCTTTTGGGGTAAATAAGTTGGAAATTAAATTTTGCTTTTTTTCTATACTGACACAGTTTTTATGATAAAATGGTTGTGGAGTAGTTTAGATTCTTATATTTTCATTAGCGATTGGGTTATTTTTTGCCCTCTTCACCTTTTAATGATGTGCTTAGATACTTGAATAGTATATGCAAAATGTTCCCTGTTCTCATGCCATTGACTAGATAAAACAGAAGTTTTTGGATCAATCTCTTGTTGAGGTACAGGTAACAGTTTCCCTTAGTTTTAGCTGTGCAATTGCTAGTTTGTTGACCTTTGCTTCTGAAAGGTACACATTTTGCGGTACAGTTAAAACTTGAATAGAGATATATATATATATATATATATAGGCAAGAACCAGCCATCTCAGCTTCATCTCGAATTTTTCTTCACCTTCATTCTTCTTGGCATTCAGTTTCCTACTGGTTCCATTTCTTCTAGGTCCTTTTATCTACTCGGATATCTTGGACTACAAGAATTTACGTGAGATAGTGGTGAATAATCGGATAACTTGGTTGTTCCATTATAGTGCTTTGCTCAGTGCTGTTGGAGAAGCAAATGTCCCTTTGGCCAGAGCTGTAAATATTACTGGTACGTGATTTCAGTGCTCTGCAACAACAGTTTCAAGTTTGTGACTTCTACAGAGGCTTGAGAAAATGCAGTGTACGTTCTGATAAATCCTGTTTATCGTTCCAGGTTTACACAATGTTCTGGATATTGCAGCTGAGCATAATTTGCGACTCTTTGTTCCTAGCACTATTGGAGCCTTTGGACCCACCTCTCCTCGAGATCCAACTCCTGATCTCTGCATTCAGAGACCAAGGACAATCTATGGAGTCTCCAAGGTTCACGCTGAGCTCATGGGCGAAGTGAGTGTGTTTTTTGTTTTGTTTTGTTTTTTCTTCTTTCTTTCATGAGAATTCCAAAAAAACCCAAAACAAAACAAAAAACTGTTGTGATTTTTGCTTCTGGAAGACTCCTCGCTGCAGTGTGTGTGCTCCTTCCCCCCCATCCTTTCCTTTCTGTGGGCTTTACTACTTAGTAGTACTCTGAGGCAGTTGTTGAGCAAAAATGTCTTTTAAATTTTGTTGGAAGAAGGACAAGAAATCGGAAGCTGGCAAAAACCATTTCTTTCCCTGGTTCTTTTGGCTTTGACTTCTCTGCCTCATCTGCCAATGTAAATGGCATAGTATAAGTGAAAACGTACAAAACTGGGAAAGCATACTAGAAAATGGGGACTTTTGCCAAACATAATGAAATAACCTTCCCCTCCTCTCCTTGCCCCCCTCGAAAAACAGCCCCCAAGATCAAAGCTTTAGGATTCTTTACATGTGGACCATATTACTGACTTTGATTTTTTTTTTTTTTGTAATCATAAAATCATAAAAGCTGATACTTTATATATGTGTTCCTTTCACTTCAAAATTTTATGCAGGTACAGGCTAGATCTGGAGTCTCTTACCCTGAAGTGTTTCAGAAACTTAGAAATTACCAATTTCTGAACACTAGATCTAAAGTCTATGTTATAAGCTGATCCATGTCAAGAATCTGTATCTACTTATGTGAATGGAAACTAGAAAAGGACAAGTGGAGAGCTCAGCTACCTCGCAAAGAATGGGGGCTCTCTATTTGGTAGTCCTGCTCTTTCATTCCTGGCCTTGGAAGTTTTTAGAATGGGGCAAGCAGCTTTACCTTGTGGAAACAATGAATCGAATGGCCTAGTCTTGATTTGTAAAGCTGTGTTTCCCCCTTCCTTCCACAGTACTACCATTACCGATATGGCCTAGACTTTCGATGCCTAAGGTATCCAGGAATTATATCTGCTGACTCTCAGCCTGGAGGGGGAACAACTGGTAAGTGACTCGCTTCCATCTCTCAGTATTACAGGGAAGAATAGCAAACACACAAGCCATGTGTTTGTAGAAATGTAGTCCTGGACAGTACAGAGTATTAGTGTAGATATGCTATTTCAACAGAGGATTGTCACGATATTTATGTCCCCTCCCAGATTAGGAGATTCTTTTGTAGTCTTTACTTCTTAAAGTTATCTGAGGAAGTTTGGGTTAATTACATTCATTGAGATTATTCCCTTTAAACGTTATTTTAAGCTCTATTATCCTGCTGCAGTGCACAAATGCCAGAATAGCATCTAAGGTTTAAGTTGGCTTCTTACTCTTGCTGTACAGTATAAATCATACTTACTCTTCTGCCAGGTTTTTGGACAGGAAGCTTTGGGACGAACTAGGACTGTTGACTGTCATAAAATGAACAACAGATGGAGGCGAATGAGCACACACGTCCATTATCTTTTTATACAGATTATGCTGTCCAGATTTTCCACGATGCCATAAAAACTGGCAAATTCCAGTGCAACCTAAAGCCAGACACCCGTCTCCCTATGATGTATATTGATGACTGTCTGAAGGCGACGCTAGAGGTCATGGAGGCCCCTGCTGAGGCACTGAGCATGAGGACATACAACATCAGTGCCATGAGCTTCGCTCCTGAAGAGCTGGTGCAAGAGGTGCAGAAACATGTTCCTGAACTCCAGGTGACCTACAGTGTGGATGCAGTCAGGCAGGCCATAGGTGAGTATCTGCTTCTTTGGTGATGGGTGAGGGAAAGCCTTACCATATGTTAAGGGCAAAATGGTATTTTCTTTCTTTTTAGGCAGTTGCAAGTTGCTGCTCTACGGTTGAAGTCTTAGATTGTGAAGTTCTGCTTTAGTAGCTTGCATGGCCAGTGATGATATATCTTCAAGTTTCAAGAGATCTTTCTTACACCTCATGCTTTTTGCTTGTTCTTTCTTTTCACTGCAGCTGACAGTTGGCCAATGAACTTTGATGACAGCAATGCTCGGAGAGATTGGGGATGGAAACATGATTATGACCTCCCTGAATTGGTGACGACAATGTTTAGCTTCCTTGGGTCTGACTCCAGGATTGCTCGAGCTAACTGAAATACTTTGTAAGATGTTTCCAGATTTCCGCAGAGGACCAGGAAGAAATGGCTAAATTCATTTATAATCTTCTGAGCCTTAGAGCATGTCAATTACCACTTTTCCATAAGTAGCAGTAGAGTTGGGCAGAAAAATACTGTAGCTGGAATTTACTATTGTTGGATAAGTTAGATAAAATAAGTCATTAGGTACTGCTTCCAACCATAGCACCAATGACAAACATGGAGATCTTGAACTTTCACATTTAAGCAGCTAGAAAGAAAGCACATACTCCTGGCTGATGACTCTGCAATCATTCCTACTGCCCAGTGTTCTTTAGCAAATGATGTGGGCAATATTGTCACACCTGCTGTTTCAGGCATATTGTGCAGAGTTAGCAATATGCTTTTTCGTTTTTCATTTTCTTAGTGGGAGTTACTAGATCATAGTAAGATATGATTCTTTCTTCTCTCTTTGCCTACAGCTGAGAGATTAGAACTACTTCATGTTTCAAAATTGCAGGGATTGTTGCAATTTCAGTTCGAAATGAAACTTTGGTTAATAGTTCCCATTTACATATATATATGTATACGTATATATAGAGAGAGTACTATGTAAACCTACACTTTTCTATATGTAAGGCATACAAAGTGGCATTATTCTTTTATCATCTATAAATGTGAAAGGGAATAGGACTTGAATTCTCATTATGCTTTAAAAATACCAGGGTATACAAGCTAAACTTTGACCTGTTCTTTGAAAATGCTGCTGCCTTCAGTTTAACCTTGGAGGTAGGCTTGAAATCCTAGGAGCTGTTATGTACATGCAAATCTAGTGTATAATTCAAGAAGGCAATGCCTGGGAATGGGGTTATTGTTAATTATCGCTACCTTTTGGTTTTCCCAGTTGTTTACCGTGCTAGCATGGTCACATGCTACCTGGAGCAAATTTTAAAGATGGGCTGATCAGATGGATTTACAGTAGAGTCATGTCAGCCTTTGAAATCATTCATATTTACTACATTTTCCAAGTGAGTTTTATATGCAATTGCAGATACTATGTATATGCAACTATCATATGCTTTTATTCTTTAGAGAGGAATTCAGAAGCTGAAACCATACCATCCTATATTTATTTATTTCAGGGTTTTAATGGCAGCCCTGTCTGTTGTCTGAATTCATCGCTTAAAAACAAAAAGTCAAGTTGCTGACTTAATGTGAAGGATTGACTGTTGTTTAGAGCCGAGAGGCCTAAATTATGACTTTGTCCATCTGTTCCCCTTGCTATAAAATGATGAGGATTTCCTAATCTTTTGCTAGTGTTTTCTAGCCTACAGTTAAGGACCATTCTCTTCATTTGAGCTTTGTATGCAAGACATTCTGGGATTAATAAGGGAGTCTTAGTGGATGCATGCAAATAAGATATGCCTATTCAGAGGCTACTGAAGAGACTTGGAAAACAAGAAATGACAAACGGGAGATACAGGCGAGCCATTTTATGTAAAATATCAGTTTTCGTGGTGTAAATCTGAGCCATTGGCTACTGTAGTAATAGCATGCCTTGAGGAACAGCATCTGGGAACTTGGATTTTTTTTTTTTTATTTTGAAGAAAAATGTCTTTCACTTTCAAAATAACTGGGAATTCCTTATGTGAAGTTCTTTTTTTTTTTTTTTTTTTTTTTTTTTTTTGGTCTTGTTTCCTCCACTGATTCTTGCAGGTGACATGTGCAAATATTTTCTTGCCTACATCTTGTTTGCTATGTTTTCTGTGACAATGCTTTGGTCGTTCTTATTCTGTTAAGCTCTCTGGAACCCTGTAATGTTTCTTCAGTAAGTAGATAACTGACATGACCTGATCCCTGCCTTTTTGTGAGGGCATCTACACACTGCAGGGAATACGTTTTCTCATGAAAGTAGCCTTCCAAAGAAGATTCTATGGTGAAACCCAGTTGTTCAATAAATGTTTTAAACTTTTATCTCTTGGTTTTGTCTGGATCTTATACTGTTTAATGGATTTCCCAGGTGTTTAAGCTTAAAAACCTCCAGGGATGTGGCCTATATTGAAACTTTTTAATAGTGTTTACATTTCTTAAAAGACAATTTTTAAACTGGGGCCGCTGTTGTAACTATCACATTGTTCAAATGTAGTATTTGGCCCAGTGGGCCAGCAAAGTTAGTCTTGATCATACCCTCCAAGAAAAGACTGGCTCGGATTTTGTTCTCTGCCCTGACAAAACAGAATTATTTTCCAGTAAACTGTTAGCCTGAGGCATCAAGTAAAGGCTTAATATGATCTCAAATGTCTTGTCCATTCCACTCGTTCATAATCCACTCTGGGGACTCCTTATACACATATAGAGATTGTGTGTATGTATGCACACACACACACACACACACACACACACATTCTTTACATATATATATGTTTATATAAATGTAGAGAGCTCTTGATGGGTCTGACTTCATTTCCTTGCTTCAAACGAAATTATGGGTCTACTACTTCCTTTATTGTAGTTTAAAGCTCTGGTTAAAACAAGTAAAAATGAAGAGCAAAAACGTTCTTTCTTATATAAACTGTTCTTTGTTGTGGTGTTGCACAAAAGCTTTGAATAGGGTGTTGCGGTGAAGATGAAATTCAAACCTATGGCATTTTAAACAAACTTTATCTTTTGCCAATAGTCACTGACTCCATTCAGGAGTAGCCATTTAAGAAACTTCTATTTTGCAAAGTATGAAATAAACTATATTGTAATAGGTAATTGTTTAGGGGTAAAGATATGATAGTCAAGGTATATGATGAGATACGGCTACATAGTCTGGTCCCTGTTTGAAATTCTGGTTTTCAACCTGTGACCAATGATGCATGTTTTTTCCCCTTCCCCCCACCCCCTTTTTTTCCCATATATTCCCCATAACCTCCGTGGCTATGTTAAAAGTATTTTCTGCATTAGACCAGTTTGACATGGTGCAAAATATGTAACTTTTGCTACCACTTTGGAGTTCAATTTTCTGGGCAGAGACTTCTCTCATAACCTTTGAGCACTGTACCTGTTACGTTACCTATTCAGGAAAAAAGACTTTAAGAGGTTTTTTTTTTTTCCAACTATTTCTATTGTAAGCTGTGGATGATGCCTACTTTAATAAAATCCTGTATAGATGTGTCCTGGTTTTGTCATCTTTGTTTAAAACACTTAAGAACACTAATCCAAGTGCAGAAGGATGCTCCTCAGTGCTGAAGCCTTTTCTGCAGCTGCGGAAGTGAAACATGATACGAAGCATAAAGAAAGATACAAGCCCCTAGTCTGTGCAGTGACTCTGTGACTCAGAAATGTTTGTCCGTGTGTTTTAACTTTCTTCTGATTCTTCCAGTTGGTCTTCGATGCAGACAGTTGCTCAAAAGTACAGAGTGATTACCCTTTAATCTTTGATGTGCTACTAAACAGGTGTACAGACTATGCTTGTAGATGGCAGCAGTCCAAAAAGTACTGGGTTTCAAATATTTCACCTGTCACTTCTAGTTTTCACCTGTCACATCCGTTCTCAGGATGAAAATCCAGTTGTTCTGTCCTCAGCCTTATTTCTATCCCTCTTTAGCTCAGCGTATCCTTGAAATTACAAGGCAAAACCAATGATGATCTGACAGAATAACTTTAGAAACAAAGAATTTAAGGTTATAGGGTCTTCATTCCTTCTCTTCTGTATAGATCTTTTCTGGTTATGCAACAGCTGAGTAAATGTTGGTCATCAGGAGGTTTGTACATGCATGAGTGAGAATGAGGCACATGTGCTCCAGTGTATTCTTTTCATAACTTGTCATCGTGGACCTACCCCGCCTCATAAATCAATGATTAAACGCTCCCTTCATGTTAAACAAGGCCTTTCCCTCCTACACTTCTACTTTCTAATGATGGGAGTTTCTTGTTGTGGAGGAGGCATTGCATTTAACCATGATTTAATGATTAGCATAACCACTATGTTTCTCGCAGAACAGGGGTGGATGTTAGAGCACCACACTCTTTCCAGCTACTCCATTTTGATAATTAGTTTGAATCATGTTTCCACATGCTCTGTTTGGCTTCTGTAGGCACTTCAGGTGGCTGTGCCTCATCCAGAGCTGCTGTAGTCTGGGAAGGGATCTCCATTACCTTTAAGGTACTTCATCAGGCCCTGAAAAAACAAGTATTCCATTAGTCTCATTTTCCCTCTACCCTGTTCTTCTGAGACTTAAGAATATTTGACATCACAGAATCGTTTAGGTTGGATGGGACCTCTGGAGATCATCTAGTCCAACCTCCCTGCTCAAGCAGGGTCACCTAGAGCATATTGTCCAGGATCACATCCAGACGGGTTTTGAATATCTCCAGCGAAGGAGACTCCACTACCTCTCTGGGCA